GGCGGTCACGGCTGGCGCCGACCCGACCTATAACGTCGGCGGCGTCACAGGCGGCTTCACTCGACAGCGCCGCCGCCCGCGGACACGCCACACCGCCGTCACGTGCCGCTGTCACTGCCGCTCTCTCAGTGTGACCCGAGCGGGGCAGAGTGGGACACGTCGGTGCCGTTGCAGCGCAGCGTTTCTGGCTGAGTCCCGGCCGCCCGCCGCTGACCGGCAGCTCGCTGAGCTCTGAGGTCTCTCGGAGGTCGATCGGAGGTCGCCCCGCGCCGTGCCGATGCAGGACGACCCGACACAGCCGCTGACCAAGCCGCGGCCCTCGCTGTGGTGTCGCCTCAAGGTAAGGATGGACGGGACGCCCCACATGGGCCCGAAGCAGAGACGTTTCGTCATGGACATGGTTAAGGACAACAAAAAATGGAGCCGACATACCATACTCACTGTTTCTAAGGAATGGGAACACCTGGATGTCTGTCTGTGTGGACAGCGTGTCCTTTGCGTCACTCCAGTGTACTCTCAGATTGTGGAATGTAGATATTTGCACACATTTTTGGGTTAATCAAACACGGTGAGCACACTATTAGCACATGATCAGTGTCACGCGACTCCCTGTCACTTGTCTAGGCCAGATAAAATTGCTGAAAATATCCAGTAGAGTTTGCTTTTAGGAGCTTATAGTCGTGAGCTGTGGAAGGTAACGACACCTTAGGTGAGGACAAACCGTAAATAGCTACGATCGTGACGAAACTGTGACATATTGATATGAGCAGGTGCAGGTGGTTTCAAAGGTTCAGTGAGTGCAATGATCAAAACGAATCCTTTATTTGTCCTTTTTAGGACGCCTGCCTATTGGAGGCATGAGAAACATCCACCCGATAAGTGTAGAAGATGGAAAAGGGATGTTGATCATTGCATAGTTGAAAGTAAAAGCTGCTTATAGATTGATATGGTGGTAGGCAGCTGTACCCAAAGAAAAATTAGTAGTCAGCGTCGTGTAAGAAGGCTTAGTTACGAACAGTAGGTATTGTGTTTCGCAACATAAGCTGATTTTAGTGGCAAAATAGCTACAATTGACAGAAAACGGATAAAGCTACCCCACACATCCCTCATCAATGTCAAATGGATACAAATTCTAGTAAGTCTGTTGTGGTTGTCACTTATCAAACCCATGTTTACCGTGAATCTCGAAATGATCCTGCTAAAGTGCCTTTTTGTTTTCGTCATCAACCAATAAACATGTCTAATGAACGATAAATACCACCCAAAGAGAAGGTTTGCGAAGTCGCACGCCGCTGGCCGCCTGTCACTAAACGAGGCCTTGAGGAGAAAAAATCAGCCAAAGGCTTCGTCGGAACAACAGAAACGGATGTTTGGCGTTTGCCACGGGTTGTTACCAGTATAGTTGTCTGTTCTACAACTCGGGAGCGATTAGGATCATACCGACATTGCCAAGACAGGAATTGCGTATGAAGTGGCTTGTTAAGCGGAAACAGAAACATATAAAGGAAATCTCTCCATCGAGAGCAAGAACGCCGTAAGGAACTGATCGTACCGCACCCAGGATACATATCCTGAAAGCTGAGATTTCTCACAATACCGGGACAACGGACGCAGGTGCGGAAATGCGAGGCCTTGAACGAGAGCAGCTTTTCCCACACACAGCTGCAGGGATAGAGGCTTGATTCAGAGCAAACGCGGAAAGCATGTCAGACACCGGCCCTGAATTTGCGGAGTGGAATGGAACTGGACTGGGATCAGCGATAAAAAAAAAATCGATGGGCCGCTAGTCAGACCCTATGTAGTATCGAGTCACTTACACTTCTTGTCAAAATGCGAGGGACATGATCGTTCAAAATTCCTTCAGCATGAGCGAAACAATATGATGAATATACAGGTGAAGTAGTTGTTGAAAGTTAAAAGGTAGAGGTTGTTCTGATAAAGTTCTAATTCTCGTGCTTAGTGTGCATTCCGCGAAATACTTATGGTTTATCGATATTCATAATGAAAAGCTCCTAATACCGAAGAGGCCAACATGAGAGAAGTGAGCTCCGTTCCACTAGAATGAAACAGACAATTTTCACTCGAATGCCCTAATCAACCACCAAGAGCACCCGATTTAAATTTACCCTCCCAGCTGAGTGCCTTTAAATCCCAATGAATGAGCCGAATAGCGCCGGTTCAACGGCCGCACCGACCCGAGGAATGAGGCTGGCCCTTCCGGTGAGCTCGCTAATCATTTCCACTGACCTTGGACGTAGCCGCTGCCAATGACCTGAAGCTCTCACCGCCCGGGGCAAATTCCAGGACGGGCATAGTGACTGAGCTCTCAGAGCGATTTTCCCATAGATGGTCTGACGCGTGATGATCATCTCTTGGCTGAGCTACGTAGGCGTAACAACATCGACGGTCAACGCGGGATATAAAACTTGGTGTGAATCGAATAACGTAAATGCTTGCGAGAGGAAAATCGTTCAGTGCATTCATTAAACGTCTGAAAAACGTCAACGAACGGCAAACTGTTGAGCTGAAGGGCTGAGCACCAAGGCCTTCTATTCTGAGCACACATCTCTTCTGCATGACATATAGCGTGAAGTTCTCTCATCTGCCTGCATTTTCACACGGCACTGGCTATCTCCCGTCAAACGCCCTGAGAACAGAGTCGGCGGTGTTTTACCGTCGAGTCTGTGCCATTGGACAGTCGCCTCTCACGCAACCTGCCAGCAGCAGAGCAGATAAGAGAGTCGCGACTGAGTGAGCAATGCCCACGGCCCTGCCCGCAACAGTACAACTTGCAGAAATGAAGATTTGGAGATGAAGGATGGTTCGCCTTGGCTGAGCCTATTGCAGAGACGCTTACAGTCATTGCTATTGTTATCAGAATGTCCATTTTAAAGATGGTCAAACGCCGAAACATATTTATGATTTTTACATTATTCATTTCATCCTAACCAACGTAAGGGAAATGTCACAAAATAATTGTTCTTGCACTTTTAATACAATAATGCTTAAATGACCATTTACTACTGAGTGGGTACTGACAATGTTAAAAAGATAGGTATGAAATGGCACTTAGGTATAATTATCGACTACCTAATACTTTGATGAATTTAGCTTTGTTGGCATTTGGCAACCTAAATCCTAATCATCAATTACACTTTAGAAAGGTTAGCAGAGTAAGCCTGTCTTCAGATCATTTCATAATCATGAACTTTTCCCCCGTTATGGAGAGTGGCTGAGATAAGAATTAATTCGCCTGGATAGATGACATTCAGCACTATACGTTACGGCATGCGGTGCCAAATGATCTCATTGGAAAGCGAAACGATCGAGATGACACTTCCAGTTTTCAATTCGTTTTCACTCCTACAAGCATCGTAAGCGTTAGGTACTACAGATGCAGGAGAGTCAGCCTAAGCCATGTATGGGCATTGTGAGCTCAACATCAACAGAGAAGAGAAAATAAAGCTCAGTTCCCACCAAGGTACGCGTCAATGCGTGGTGATATGTTCACACTCTCTATTGCAGTTTCCGTGATACATTGTTATCGCTCGTCGCAGTCGCCAGTGTTCCCTTCTTGTGACTTAGTGCAGTCTCCCAGATGTGCTGTTGTCCTGCGTCGCAGTCTTTCGTGAGTGGTTCCTTCCTATCCTCTGTTGCAGTCCCCGCATTATGTTTGTGTGTCCCGTTGCAGTCCGCGATCCACAATTTCCTGTGTCGTGTTCTACGATCCACTTCAGTATTCATGGCGTGTTTCCACGACATTGTTTGGTCTGCGGAGCGTATGATTATCATCCATTGTCGTTCCACCGGTGGCTTAATAGGCCTAAGGAAGCAACATTTGAACTTCTGCGGAAAAGTTGGAACGTTAGCTGGATCTTTACACCGTGCGGACATCCATATAGCGACAATACCCATCTACGATCACCTATCCACAACGTGTATTGTTGTTTTACATTTTGAGCAGCACCAGTAAATTAACGTGACTCTCCGTAGATTTAACTTACGTGACTCCCCACATAAACGCATGTAAAACGGAAACCAAGCATGCTTATGGGAATGTAGGTGAAAAAGCATGGGTACTTATAGCTGAGCTTATACTTTCCCTACGACGCTGAATCTGCGACAACTTTTGGCGTAAATCCTTCGTTTCCTTCCTTTAACTAAGCACCCATGACTTCAACAAGGCCTTCCCGTGCCTGACATCATGTTTGACCGCAGTAGCAGCGCAAATCCCGTCTGTCCAGCATATCTGGAACATCCGGCGGCAGCTGTCTTTCTGACGATACAGGTTGAGGCCATTATTCAGAGCGAGCCGCTTAGCCATTTCGACTTACAAATAGGCTACGGAGCGAGAAGGTATGATTATCGCACTGCTTAAACAGCCATTTGCATGAAACAGATAGGTACTGCAGATACTGCCATCAGATATTGCCGCAAAGGAATAACCGTGACGCGAAATTGTTTGTTCATTTTTCTTCTTAGAAGTGAAGAAAACTTGTAATGCATTTGCTGATCGCATCCTGAATCAGTCCATCCACTGACGAAGACAGCCTGTAGCCGAAAAGTCTGGTATTTTAGGATTTTCTGATAATCATCATTCGCTCAAATATATCAAAATCATGTCCGAATATTCACATTCTACTTTAAGTTGTTATTCATAAACATATTTTAAATGATTTTTCACCTGTTAATGTATATTATATAATCAGAACACCTCACTTATATGTCAACAAACCCCATCCAATGAGCAGCACACTTCTTTGTGCATTTTCTGCATAAAGAGAAGTTTGTGGATGAGCCACCTCTGACAGCTCAATGTCGCCCGCCGGTCGTGTCCGAGCTATTATCGATGGCCGATCGGCGGCGGTGGCTCGTCACGGCCAGCTCCAGCTGCGGCGGCGGACCTCCTCCCTCCTCCTGCTGCTGGCGGACCTCCCCTGCTGCGGCCGGCCGGCCGGGTCCGCGCGGCGGCCCGCTACTCGGCCGGTCCGGTTCGCGGTCCCTCCTGGCGGCCGACGCCGGCAGCTGAGGAGCCGCGTCGGCGGCCACGGCCGGCCGCAGTCGGCCGCTCGCCCCGCCTCCGACAGCACGCTCCGTCTGTGTGACCGGCCTGCCCGCCCCGCCCGCCCTACAGGCCGCCATGAACTCCGCCGGAGGACGCTGTGCGCTCGGCTCGGCCACCGCCGCCCTGCTGCTGCTCGTCATCTACGCCGCGCTGCAGACTATTCAGGTGAGTGCCGCGCGCCGGTGAGCGGCCGCCCGGCGACCGACGCGCTCCAGTAACGCCGGGGTGCTCGCGCTCTGCTCGCACGACCCGCGCCCGGCGGTAGTTGCAGTTGCGAAAGTGGGCGAAATTGTCGGGCGAACCACGCCATGAGGCGGTAGTCGCTGATGCCGCTTGCGCCACATCAGGATGGAAAGGCTTGAACAGGACTCGAGCGGAACAACCGCTGTGGTCTGGCCGGTTTACGATTACGTCAAGAAACGCCTGATGGATTCTCGTAACGGCGTTCCAAATTGCAGCATTTCGTTTTGCTCCAATAACTAGCTCCAGAACAATCATCCCCTTTAAATGCTTTTAGATCAAGGTAGACCGGGTGTTTGGCATGCATGGACGCTCGGCCGATATTCAGCACATCATTCGTGTCGGTCTGCTCTGACAACATGCCAGGCAGCCGATAAATATCAGACTCCGGGCCACCCAGACAGCTGAGCTCTGCAGCACCGGACTGCATCCCGGCCGACCACCGCGCCGTACCGGCGCTCCGGGGTAACGAACTGGTGGGATGCGGACCGACCGCTGACAATGAGGCCGACCGGTTTTTCGTCTTTGTGCGCGCGTCCGGTCTGGCGTCAGTCGGCGGTTAGCGGCACGGGTCAATCGCCGGTCACGACGCGGCGGGAGGTGTCGTCGGTGGGTCATCCACTCAACAGCATACCCGTCACGGCTGGTCTCTGACGAGCCGAACGGAGCCGCATCTCGCGCTCCTGCACCGTGCCGAGCTGCGGTGCTGTTGGCCTGCCGTGCCGTCGGCAGTTGACCTGGATTGTGGCGCCCGGCTCGGCCCACAAGCAGGCCAATGTCAGAGCTTCCGAATGGTGCGGCCAGGGCACCGCAAGCCGCACATAGCTACCGAGCGAGCCTCGTCAGCGGTACCCGCAGCGAACCAGAACGGGAGTCCGTAATGGACAGTTTATCGTAGGTACGTCATGCTCAGTGTGCGCCGCTCGGAATGTGCAAGAAAACAAGAGCGTGCCAGTTTTTGATGAGATTCTCAGGGGTATTTATTAATCGGAATGCACGATTGCGAAACGTAATGGTGCTTAATGAACACCATGGGATTTATGCAAAGTGCAGAGAAGTAGCTGTCACTCATCCTTCAAATCTCCCCATGCGAAATTCAAGAAGGCCTTGTGAACAAGCCCGACATGATTCAAGGACTTACGCTCAGACGCCTAAATAGTTAGCTTTTACGATACGTTTTTAGGACAATAATCCGTTAATTCGTCGTAGTCACATTACATTGCGCAATGGCATTCATCGCATCGCACGAGGCAGAACCATCCGACACTTCTTTCCAGTGGTTAATGACAAACGTCCTAATAAAGCGGCATGGTTCGGGACCTCAGTCAATTGGTATGGCAAGGACGGGCCCTCACCTGAAATGGCAGCGAGCTACGCAACGTGCTGAATTATCGTCAACATTACTAACATAAATTTACCCAGCACTACCTGATGCTTGTTCAAGTGTTCGGACTTCGAAAAGCTTACGTCAATGCAACAACGTTCTCCGTATTGGGGATGGTCGCACTCACATCGCTCTTATATAAGTACGAGATGGTGACCAAAGTGACAGTGAGAACCTGTGCCTTGACCGTCAATGACCGGCACCGACCGTCGTGTTGGTGACGAGCCGTCGACCCCCGGTATGCGTCAGTGACCGCCAGTGACCGTCGTGACTGATTGGTTCGTGACGCCCGGAAGCCGCCGGAAATGACTGACTACCGCGGCGGGCGACTCCGTTATGCCGCCACCTAACGGTTCGGCGCCGCGCTTTGATGCGTATCAATGGAAAATTATGATCATCAAAGGCGCTGAACCGGCGCCCGGTCAGAGCACTCATCACCGTCGACCGGCCGGGCCGTGGCCGCGCGGATCGCGGCCTCTTTGTCCGCCGCCGGCGCGGCGTTGTTTGCGCAAACTGCACAGAGGCGGCCCTGCGCGCAGACGTTTTTGCCTGTTTGCGCGGTCGCGGACTGTGAAATGGCCACGGGCTTACGTTTCGCGTCGGTCGCCGCCTGCATACGGAGATGGCGTATCTCGGATGTACGCTCTTTGTAACGCTCGACGGAGAAGAGAGGGGAGATAACTATCTGAATGGAGACGTAATAAATTCAGCATAAAGGTCACGCTGTAATCGCATTGTGACTTTGAGCAGGGTTCGGTAGTGCCATTAGGAAACCGTTTCTGATTGCAATATGCATAGAAGGTAGCTCTGAAGCCACTCAGAAGTTATACAGCAGAGCCTCAGCAGCTACTCAAGTCACTCACCAAAGGCCCCCGCGCAGCCCAACCCGGGCATGGCACCTGTGGCCAGCCCTGAGTTGCGCCGACCGCGGCGAGCTGCGTGCTGCCGGTGACCTAGTGCGCGGGCCCGGTGACCTCGTTTGGTGCCGGCCCGGGTCGGCCGCCGCCGCCGTCTCCGGCCGCAGCCTGACCTCGGGGTCACGGCGCTGACCTCGGGGGTCACGGCGCTGACCTCGCCCGACCCGCGCCGGCCGCGGCGGTTCCGCGTCACGCTGCCCGCGCGCCGAACTACGCTGGGCTCGGGGAGGGGCGCGCCGGCCCCGATTCTGACCTGACAGAGTCGATAGAGGTGGGAGCGCTCCCGGCGCGTCGCCGCCGCGAACTTGACCCGTTTCTTGCCGTCCGAAGACGAGCTGCGCCCGTCCCTGATCCTTGCGACCTTGACCCAGGGACAGGCGCGCGGAGGAGCTACCGAAGGTGATCGAACAGGCTGCGAGAACAGCCTCGTCACCGGTCGGTCGAGCACCGCGTAATAAAGCCAGTGATCCGGAGAAAAATTAACATCCATAATCGCACGGCTAGCGTTTTGTGAATCACGCCCACACTGATGTTTTTAGCCATCATGCATAAATAGAGCATGGACTTGGAGGTCAAAAGCGTTTCCAATAACAATCCGACTATAAAGGCACTCGATCAAAATGCCCAGGTGAGATGTGCCAGGTGAGAAGGAAGTAACGTTTATTGACAACCAGCAAGCATCAACAATATTTTTCCAGGCAAGAGCTAACTGTCTTCCTCTAAATGAGCGCAAGAGATACAAGAAAGAGGACACAAGATGTATGATGTGCAATGCAGAAAATGAAGACCTCGCCCACTTTATATTGAATTGCCCAGCCTACGAAGAAGAAAGAAAAGAATCAATGCATCTTCAGAAACCCTATGCAAAGGATATTTTAGGGATGTTTCTGTTTGAGGAGGAAGATATTGAAGAAAAGAAAGAAGTATTGCTTAAGCTGTGGAAGAAAAGAAGACTGCTGGAAATAAAACAAATTTCTCCATCCTAGTTGACCTTCATCCTCCCAACACCCAATCCTGTCCCCTAGTGAGAATCCTAGCCACACAAACCAACCATAACAATGCAACCCATCGATCAAAGTAAAAGTAAAGTTTAAGAAATCAAGGAGGTGCCGATACAAAGGCTAAACCTCCGAAAACCATCGCATCGCATCGCATCGGTTAACATGGTTAGACTCTGACGGGATGTGATCAGGTCGAAGGTCAAATCTCGAACTAGCCTTGCTTTGACAGGATATATAGACTAAGATAATATCGTATACGCCTAATGCTTCCTTCTGGCAGCTCAGTTTTTATCTCACAAGAGCAGGAAAAATCAGCCGGCTCACGGGGAGAAACGCCAATGTGACAGCGTCATAACCAGGAACTTCCCCAGTAGAGTAAGGTAAGGTTCCGGTCAGTTTTGCCAATAGGAGAACATAACCTCAGTGACCGGGAGCCATGATAAGCCACCAGTGCGAAGCTTTTCGTTCAACAAAAAATTGTGTTAATGTTAACCGTGCCAAAATTTCACAATTAGATCACATTCTTTCAACATCATCATGCTGTTTCAATGCAAAACTGCAGAGCGCTGTATCAAGAGGACAATGTACCCTGACAATTTGTTAATATAGTGACATACAAAGCCTCTCTCAAGTCTCAAACGAAGCAAGTTACTAGTTAGTCAAACAATGCAAATCATATTGCATAATAGCACACACTGCAAAACGAAAAGCACTGGCATAAAAGCTGGAACACCTCTCCCAGCACACCCCAGCCAAAGCCTATAATTGTCCAGCAGCAAGTGACCTGGTTTTTCACAGATTGCAGCTCCTAATTCTCCCAAAACTCGATACCTATAGGGCTATAGGCGTGTCTTCAACTTAAAGACGCACTAAAAAGCACAATGGAAACTGGCTACCTAGCAGCGCACCAATTAAACGCTGTTGTTGTAGCTACCCATCGCAATTAACGATCATTTTGCGCAGCCTCAACCTGTGTTAAGAGATTGTGAATAACGGTCTGGAGCGGCATTTCGAGTCATCTCTGCTGCCGAAGCTGTCGGTCCAGAGAAGACCGACCGGGCGACCTAGCCGGGGGCGCCGGCGGCCGAGAGGGGTCCGACTGGTCCCCCGGAGCCTGTCGCCCCCCCCCCCCTGCTTCCCCTGCCGGCCGAGTTGTCAGCCTTGGCGTCGGCCGGTGGTCCTGCCTTCCGCCAGCCACGCCCCTCTGAGGCCTGTCGGGAGTGTCAGCACTGCGGCCTGTCCGAACGATCAGCTCTGCGGCCTGTAGGCACTGTCAGATCCGCGACCTGTTGGGACGATCAGCTGCGCGGCCTGTCGGGACTGTTCGGGCTGTCAACTCCGCGACCTGTCGTGGGCGCCAGACAGCCCTCCGGCCAGGGCGGGGGCCCTCAGCGGGCAGCGAACAACCTCCCGTAGCTGTCCAAACACCCTCCGCTGTCCGGTGTCAGTACAGGACCGCCGACCGGCGCTAGCGGGCCAGTCCGGCAGGGCGCGGCCGACACGGGCATCAAAACACCCAGTCACGTGCGCGGAAGCGGACCGAGGTCCACAGAAGGACACCGTTGGCACGTCATAGAGCGAATATGACGCTGCAAGACGCGCGAGCCTTGAGTGACAGCCGTG